TTTTGTTTTTTTTTTTTTTATTGATGACCCCCACCAGGCCTGGACGACTGAAGAAATGCTGCAGCTGCTGCCCTTAATATAGAGCGACTTTCACTCAAGGCGTGAGTTGCGCTCAAATGTTGAGGGATCGTTCCAGTCGATCGTTAAATGAGCAATGGGAACACTCTATGCTGCAAGAATTTGAGCTTACTAGAGTATAAATTCAAAATGAATACTGCTGCATTCATATAGACAAACAGAGAGACAAATTCTGAGATAACCAGGATGACAGACAGATAGACGGACAGACAAGCAAACACGCATAGCTAAATCGCATGACCTCATTTTGCTGTTCAAGGATATTCTTGATTAACAACAAATAATCTAGATTTAGTCTGAAAGAGACTAAAGGTGCTTTCCTACTTTTCTTTTAAATTTGTATTTTTCGGATTTGGCGTATTATAACAGATACAACTAGAATAGGGATAGCAAAATTTGTAGAATCTTCACGTGATCGTCGAACACATACATGTTATTGCACACCATACGTGGGAGACAACCCGATCTCATGTTTCTGGCTACCCTCTCTACTTGCAGACATAGAGATGAACGAAGACTCTGACAGATGTTCCCTCTCAACACCATGCGGTCGTTTCGACTCTGCTCGGGCAATAGACGACCACGATGCGACAGACGACGACATGACCTTCTGCATGTCAAACTACGCCAAGGAAGCGCTTAAGATGATGTTCATGATGCGGTCCCATGGGATGCTCACAGACGTTGTGCTCGAGGTAAAGAAGGAGCTCTTTCCCGCACACAAGGTGGTTCTGTCTGCCGCATCTCCATACTTTAAAGCCATGTTTACTGGCGGACTGAAGGAGTCCGAGATGTCGCGTGTGCAGCTCCAGGGGGTAAGTAAAGTCTAGCTACATAGCTAAAGCTTATGACTATAATGGATGAACAGCACGGTCTACTTTCCTAGGTATGCCCGACGGCAATGGCCCGCATTCTCTATTTTATGTATACTGGACAAATACGCGTCACAGAAGTCACCGTCTGTCAACTTCTGCCTGCTGCAACCATGTTTCAAGTGCAGAATGTCATTGATGCGTGCTGTGCGTTTCTGGAGCGCCAGTTGGACCCGACCAATGCCATCGGCATTGCGAATTTCGCCGAACAACACAGCTGCACCGAGCTGCAGAAGAAAGCAAACTATTTCATAGAGCGACACTTCATGCAAGTATGTTTCGTGTGGTAAACGATTCCATTAGAAGTATTGAACCGTGATACTCTTTTTACGAATCATAGGTATGCCAGGAAGAGGAGTTTTTGCAGCTGTCCGCCTATCAGTTAATAGCGCTTATAAGACGGGACGAATTGAACGTGCAGGAGGAGCGCGATGTATACAATGCTGTCCTGAAATGGGTGAAGTACGACGAGGACAATCGCCATTCCAAAATGGAGCATATTCTTGGCGCTGTGAGATGCCAATTTCTAACGCCCAACTTCCTTAAGGAGCAGATGAAAAACTGTGACGTGCTCCGTAAGGTTCCCGCCTGCCGCGAATATTTAGCCAAGATTTTCAAAGACTTAACATTACACAAGTGCCCAGGCGTGAAGGAGCGTACACCAAACACGACGCGCATGATATTCGTCGCTGGCGGATTCTTCCGTCATTCCTTGGATATATTGGAAGCGTACAATGTAGATGACAAGACGTGGACCACCTTACCGAATCTGCGCATCCCACGTTCCGGTCTGGGAGCGGCGTTTCTTAAGGGCAGATTTTACGCAGTGGGCGGACGAAACAATAACATTGGCTCTTCATACGACTCCGACTGGGTAGATCGATATAGCGCCATTAGTGAGACGTGGCGGCCCTGTTCTCCGATGTCTGTGCCGCGTCATCGAGTCGGGGTGGCAGTTATGGACGAGCTAATGTATGCCGTTGGTGGATCTGCAGGAATGGAGTACCACAATACTGTTGAATAGTATGTGGCCTATAGCACACAGAAAATAGCAGCTAATATGCTTATTTGTTTGTTTTAGCTATGATCCTGACCAAGATCGATGGACTCTCGTCCAGCCCATGCATTCCAAGCGCTTAGGCGTTGGCGTTGTGGTTGTCAATCGTCTGCTTTACGCCATTGGTGGCTTTGATGGCAACGAGCGCTTGGCCAGTGTAGAATGTTATCATCCGGAAAACAACAAATGGAGCTACTTACCTCCACTGCAAACGGGTCGCAGTGGAGCAGGTAAGATAACTTTAGAATATACATAACAAAACAAATGTAAATTATACTGTGAGTATTAACGAAATATTCGTGAATTTCAGGTGTAGCTGCCATTAATCAGTATATCTACGTCGTGGGTGGATTTGATGGCACTCGGCAGCTAGCTACGGTAGAGCGATATGACACGGAAAACGAAACTTGGGATATGGTAGCGCCAATACAAATCGCACGGAGCGCTCTTTCGCTCACCTCACTCGATGGCAAGCTGTACGCGATTGGTGGCTTTGATGGCAACAACTTTTTGTCAATTGTAGAAGTATACGATCCGCGTTCGAACACTTGGGAACAGGGCACGCCATTAAACTCTGGTCGCTCTGGCCACGCCTCCGCAGTTATATACCAGCCCTCCTGCGCCTCCACATTTATGGACTACGAAGAAACAGTAATACCCAAGCGTGATGACAGCAATGATGAAAGGCAGAACGACTCCTCTCAATATCCCTTTGGAGGTAGAAGCCCAACCTTTGCAGGCATTCCATCCAATATGCAGTTTCACGCATCCTACGGGGCCGGCGGGTGCCATAATTGCGAGCCAAACATGAAACCGAGTAACAATGATTTGGCGGCCTTAAGTATGAGACATGTTGCTGAAGAAATTGCCAAACAGTCTCGTTATATGTCAAGCATTCGACAGTTTAACGATAACCTAAGGAATCGGGATCCTACGGATAGCCATTGCAAGAGTCCGCCCTCAAATGCAGTCAATGCACAGAGACGCTGCATATTGATCCCAATGTGTATAGCCATGCAAAATATAATAAATAAGAGCTTGGAATGGCACTATAAAAAGATCACAACAACGCCATGACAATTATTTGGATAGCCGAAAGAGTTTTTGTGAAGCCAAATAAGCCAATTACTATAGTGTAACCATTCACATACATATAGTTAATATTCCATTTCGTTAACCATTCCAGCCGAACATGTTAACATACAAACGTAGCCTAGGTGTGCAATTTCATAATTGAACCATTAATGACTTAACTCATTGTATTCAAAATATATAGTAGGTGATTGTATGGATGTATCTATTCAGACGAGGATATGCAATATAATAAGATGCCTTTTATAAGTTAACGCCTAATTAAGTAGATTAACTAAGATCATAATATCGAATGAAGGATATTGTGCTTTAATAGCTTGTACAAACCTATTAGAATATATTACTATGGTAATTAATATGATGTAAGCTTTAAATAGTTATTTACTGATAATGATAAAAATGTAAAAAATTCAAAAATATGCATATCTAAATGATTTTGCAATAAATATGTACAACTTTTAATAAGCGGCAGATGCCACTTAATCGACAAAGTGATCGATAAACTACTACAAAGTATTTTTTGTTATAAATTGCCTTCATTATGTTCAAAGTGCTAATCGAATGTGATCAGATACCGTATAATATAGTTGTATAGAAACTAATTTGAAACCAGGAAAATTCATATTAGCATCAAATAATATGGAATAGACCACAGTAATGCGGCGTACATGGCACGAGGTCCTAATCAAACACATACTATCGGCTATAATAATAATTAATCAATGTATATTTATATATCCTTTATTATACATGAATATCAATAATAGTTTCAAATAGACATGGAACATTGATGCGAAACGTTGTGTATCATTTCTAATACTCTATATTTTTCCAATTTATTACGCTCGCATCTGTGGCCATATGATTTATAGTTAAATAATGTTAGGTCAATAGGTCATCTGCCGAGCCTAGTAGCATAAACTTGTAAAATGGAGAGCATACAATTTTTTTCAAATCTATGATATGAAGGCTATTGTATTTTAAGCATGAGTGAAGCTTAATGACATTTACATGAATCTACGCATATGCTCAAATATAAACAGCTAAAATAATCCCGAGCGTAAATTTTTCGCATCGCAATCCTCATAACATCTCCTCTTGATCCGTCTTAGAGGAAAATAGAGCACATTTCATGAGTAATTAATTAACCTTTTTACCTGTTTTATACAATTATTTTTATTTTAATCTATTTGTATTGTACACTTTAAGCGGGATCTCAATGCAATTAAAGACTTCTTTGCTTGCGAGGTCGTGGTGGATTCCAGGATACTGGTGTGTTGTCAGTAACGGAAACAATATTTAAGCCGCCCATTTGCAGGCCTTTGATGGCCGACTATAATAATAAATTAATATAATAATATGCATAAATGGACAGGCTTTCGATGTCATAAATATAATTAGAATTACTCACCATTCTTCCGGGTCCCAGTCCACGCACTTTCACTCGAATTGTTTTCCATCCAAGCTCCACAGCTTTCTGAAAGAATAATCAATAATATTAAAATCAAATGAAAATTAATATCGAATCATTAATCCTACCGCGCCTATGGTAACCGCAGTGGCCTGTGCGGCTATATTCGTTCCTTTTCTGGTATTTTTGAATCCTTCGATTCCACAAGATCGTATCAGGCGTGGCACACCTAAAGTATCGGTATCATTGAAAATATAAATTTGATATCTCCTTTTAGAAAATTAATTCGAAACTCGCCTTTATAGTCCGTCACTGATATTATTGTGTTGTTGGGGGACACCCGTATGTTACAAATGGGCAGCTCGTTGAAGGGAATGCCATTGAAGAGCTTGGTGGCAGTCGTCGCATCGGGAAAGGATTTCGCCCGTCTATTACGATAAGTATAACAATGTTTTGGCATGTGACTTGATCAACTTATGCAGGTGGTGTCTTCGCTTACCGGTTGAACAGCGTGTCGATGTCGACAGATTTCTCGCCAGCGGTACCCTCATCTTTAGCCGGCAGTGAAGCCAGCATTTCCTTGCGGTCTTCCGCTTTTCGCAAAATCACGCTTGTGTGTATTAATGCACTCTTCGATAAAATTGTGCATTGTTTAATACAATTTATTCCAGCCAAAATTGAGGATTTTATAAACATTTTGAATATACAAATATAATAACAATTACATCACTAGAGTTCAAATAATCTGGCATCACTACACTTCTTTGGTAGTGTTGGAAAATGCGACAGCATCACAAGCTTATTTTGTGAATGGCAACTCCATATGGACATGGAAGAAGCACATTTATTTTCACGTGTTTGAATGCAGCAGTGAGACGCAGATAAATATCTTGAAATGGCACTTAAAAGACTAAAAAGTTGGTTATTAATTATTTATAACTAATGACATTCAGCTTATTAATCACGAATACTTTTAGCGAAAAAATCAAAGCGTTTGACTGGCAAACTCAAGCACAAAATTGATAAAAAGGTGCGGGAACACAACCGCAAGGAGCGTCGTGAGGCGAAAAAGAATACCAAGAAGGGCAGCAAGAAACAGAAACTAATACAGATTCCAAACATATGCCCGTTCAAAGATGATATCCTCAAAGAAGTGGAGGAGGCCAAGCAACGACAGGAAGCTGAACGCCAGGCCCGGCGAGAAATGATAAAAGCTGAGCGCGAAAAGAACAAATTCAAGTCGCTGGAATCGATGGTGGAAGACGCCGATATGCGGGGCACAGTGCACGGAATAATGCATGAAGACAGCGCCGTTGAGGGCAATTCGAATGAAAAAGTATATAAGAACGCCGCCACGAAGGAACAGTCGTTGAAGCAGTACTTTAAGGAGTTTCGAAAAGTGATTGAGAATGCCGACGTCGTGCTGGAAGTGGTCGATGCACGTGATCCCCTCGGCACACGGTGCACTGAAGTTGAGCGAGCGGTGCGCGCAGCCCCTGGGAACAAGCGACTGGTGTTAATTTTGAACAAAGCCGACCTTGTCCCAAGGGAAAATCTGAACAATTGGATCAAGTACTTTAGACGGAGCTTACCCGTCACTGCATTTAAGGCTTCTACACAAGACCAGACCTCAAGATTGGGACGTCGTAAGCTGCGCGACATGAAGACAGAAAAGTCCATGCAGGGAGGTGTCTGTATTGGAGCAGAATTGCTTATGTCTATGCTTGCCAACTATTGTCGCAATGCGGGGATCAAAACCTCGATTCGCGTGGGAGTTGTTGGAATACCCAACGTGGGCAAGAGTTCCATCATAAACTCGCTAACCCGAGGACGTTCGTGCATGGTTGGAAGTACTCCTGGTGTCACTAAGTAAGTATTCCCCGCCTCTGAATCGCAAATACACATTAATGTAAAACTGGAATAACAATTAACAAATTGTTTAGGGCCATGCAGGAAGTTGAACTGGATTCCAAAATTAAGTTGATTGACTGTCCGGGCATTGTGTTTACAAGCATTGCCAGTGAAGGTAATCAAAATGCACATGCTGTGTTGAAGAACGCGCAGCGTGTGGGCGACGTCAAGGATCCGTTTAGCATAGCCGAGAGCGTTCTGAAGAGAGCCAGCAAGGAGTACTTCTGTAAGATGTACGATATTACCAACTACGACACGTTCGAGGAGTTCTTCGCAAAGAAGGCAGCCAGAATGGGTAAGTGAATGTGGAGAGGTTTCTACAAGGCTGCTTTATTTCAATGTCCACACACCATCCACAGGCAAATTCTTGAAGAAGGGTGTTCCGGATGTTGTGGCCGCTGCTCGTAGTGTTCTGAACGACTGGAACACTGGAAAAATTAAATACTGTACTCAACCTCCTGAAGTTAAAGAGAATTCGAATGTACACATAAGTGCTTCGATTGTGCATGCCGACGCGCGAGATTTCGACGTAGACAACTTTGAATCGATGGAGACCGACGTACTAAATCAGTGTCCCGAGAAGACGGATGATATTATGGAGATAACATCTACAGGACCACTTGAGTTGAGAGTGCCACGTGAAGATACAGAGGTGGCTCCTACAGTAATAACTGAGAGCGAACCACCGTCTAAAGGTCGTAAAAGAAAATTAGAGGATGATAAAAAGGAAAAGCCAGATCCTGTGCTACTACTTGAGGGTATTTAGTTTGTACAACTAATTGTTTTCCGTTATTTAATAAAATTATGTTGTAATATTTTCAGAAAATCAATCCCTTAACAAAAATATAAAAGAGCTACAGAAGAAGAAAAAGAAACAAAATGTTCGGAACGAGAAAAAGATTTCAAAAATAACTGACGTTTTGGACAACTTCAGCTTGAGTGCAGCATCGTCTAATACAGATAAATACGATTTTGACCAGGATTACAACATTGAATGATTGTACAATTAGAATTGTTTTATACAAGTCATAATCAAATAATATTTTATTTGTTGAAATAAATAAAATACATATAAATTTAATTTTTATTAAGCGGACAGAAATACCCCTCATTTTTGGCTATGAAGAGATGGAATAAATGGAGATTAAATAAAAATGAAATAATATATTAAATTCAATTCAACTTAATACATATTTATATTAGTTAATTATTGATTATTTCTGTTAATTGGATGCAATGCTCTTAATATAAACTACGAACTTCTTTTCTGAACGATTCCATAGTCTAAGAGTTTAGTTTGCTTAAGAGGGATGTAATGATGCGATACATATCTCTTATTATATTATCCTTTATTTTATTATGTGTCAATCAGTTTCATAATAATAACACTAAAACATTATTCAAAGCAACATTATCAAGCTGTCCCACAGAATCTTCAGGCACGTTGGCTCACAATTTTCGGCATTGCTTCATGATCAAGAAGTCGAGTCTTGACATTTTCTATTGTCAAACAATTGTCAGGTAGGGTCTCTATTTCCCTAGCAATTCTCTCATAGCTAGGCGGAAGTATTAAGAGTAAATGAGCGATTTGGTCTATTTCGTCTAACTTAACGCCCAGCGCACTAAGTAATTAATGTTTACGGCGAATCGGGAAACGGCGTCAGTTCCTGTTGAATTGTGAAATAATACATTTATAAGCTTTTTCGACACAAACACAAATGCTACATATATATTAAAATATGTTTGCGCAGAGTTTATACATACATGTAGTTATTAAGATGCCGTTGTTTTAATACTTCCACTTTTATTCTTCGCTTTACGTTTTGTGAATATTGAAAATATTTAGCTATAATAAGGCTAACATATTATATATGTGCATATGTATGTGTATACTTATAAGGATGTATTTTTGACGTACTTTGGTGTTTGACGTAGTTATCTTATATTTGCATCTGCTAGAAGAAACTCGTTGTCCTTAGGCAGCTTCATTGTGTTTCCACTAACCCGCGAATGAGCGACAAATAGTAACAATAGGTTCTGCAAAGCGAACTGTTTACTTGACACTAACAGTTTCAACAATAACAGTGACACACATTGACGTCACATTTTCGGAATCAACACGAGTCAGCTCGTGGCCCTGATCAAGAATATATGTACATATGTATATACTTTACGGTCTGCGATGATTCCTTCTGCCTGTTACATACTTTTTAAAACCATTGTGCCTTTGCAAGACCAAACTGAAATTAACCATATACCACATAGACTGACACCACGATTGAGGGTCTTTTAACAGTGAACTTTCTCCATACATGGGTAGTGGTTCAAGCACTAACCATAGAAGTAACCGAGTAATGTAAAGCCATTATGGTTCTATGGTTAGTGGTTCAGGCCATATAACAGAACMGAACAGAAGCCGAAAATGTGACGTCCCAACATAACTGTTAAGTTAAGTTTAAAAGTAACGGAACTGCTCTTTGCGCAACTACAAAACCTTTTAACAGTGATCTCGTAAAATATTTTTCATTATAGGTCTCAATCAACTTGGATCAACAATTAGCTAAAGCCTCCGATGTTTGGTGAGAACATTCTATAGATGTATACATACATATATTTGTTCACAGTGTCTGCCGTCGATGTAACTTTGTAGTATCCCTAACCCATTGGGGCGTGACAACCGAGCAGAAAGATATACATATACTACGTAAAATATTGAGAGTGAATGTTTTTAGCTTGGGTTGCAAGATTGAACATGCAATATCTGTTTTCATAATTTTAATATTTGTGACTGTGCTTAAAAGGATACTTTCAAGCACTTAAATATTGAAATAGTAAATAATATAAATAATACATTTAGATAAAACGAATTACAAACTCTTATAATATTAATTATGGCATTGAGTAACATTGAGTGGATAGCAAAATACAAAGATGACAGTGAAAAATCAAAATCTGTATATAAGTTTAAATTTTATTACAAAATATTTCTTAAAACTTAACAGTACAACTACAACTATTAACGCTCAATTAATGTTTGATCATTTTGAAAATGCTGTCAGTATGAGCATGCGAACATACAGCCACACATACGTAAGCATGTATGCATGAGCGTACATCAGCAGATGCATACATACATAATACACTCAAAATGACCCAAGTCCAAGCTGTTTTTAAAATTAGTTTTTACTACTCATGTACTCATACGTACGTACTTATGGGTTTCATAAAAGGGCGTATAGTTATTATAATAATAAATTTTTGGAATTAAAATGTACAGGTTCACATATGTATGTATGTATGCGTAGGTAATTTCTGATGGTTCATAGTTTGTAATTTATAGGGGGAGTCGGTACCACAACAATATTTACAGGTGTCCTGCAGTGTAATCGAATTTAGACATTTTCCCTTGCATTACAACAACTTCATACAATTCTTTTGGCTATTATATTGCGAAAACCCTTTCGTCTTACTCAAACTTGCATTTCCGTCAGATTGAAAGGCAACTGAGTTTTGGGTTCGGGTGGATAAAAAACTAAAACGCGAATTATATCATTTACAAAATTCGCCGAAAGTTAAATAATTACTATTCGGATTGAATAAAAATATCAGAGAGTTTGAGCATGGCTTTGTATGCTAACTACCAAAGATCAAACACACTGAACCTTTTCTCAATTTATACAAACGAATACAAACAAAATCTGTCTACAAAATTTGTACTTTTGTAAGTTAAAACCATAATTTTTGGGGTGACTGTTAAGGAAATCATTGAAGTTGTATGTGCTGCCATTGCTATAACGACTACATCCGCTGTTTGCCTATCTTTCTTAAGTACATCTGTATATACAATTTAAAATAAGATATGTACATGTATTTAGTGTTTGTACATACATTTGACATTTTCGCTCATTGCATTCATACATACTTAATACATATGCAAATGTACATGTAGAGTGAATCACAGGATTTTAATTTTACTATGTTCAACAATCAATAACTATATGAATTTAACACTCCTAGCTCCGTCGCCGCGCATGCTTTACACATAAGTTAATTTCGATGTGGCATTTAGCAATTAATTGAAACACTTTTCGTAATTAAGTTTAACTTTTTAAAGTATATAATTTGCAGTCCATTGTTGCCCCTTATGATTAGTTGCTTGCTAGCCCGCTTGCTGCAATTTCGATCTCCTCGTGCCAATCGCTGCTCGGAGTCATCTTAATGTACATGCTTACATAACCCAGTCTCATGCGCATCTTCTAAACTAGCTGAAGCTGCTGTTGCTACCGGTAGTACACATAGGGCTTTCTGCCCATCGGGCTAGTGCTGGCTGTCCCCGGTAAAAGTAACACTTCTGCTGCTGCCGCTGCTACGAAGCTATGGGCATCAGCTGGTGACTGGCAATGTCACCGCAGATGGCTGAAGTGCACTTCTAGCCAGCAGGGACAGCACATAATATCCTGTCGACGATACATGTTACCCCAGCCCTTGGCGAAACTGATCTTCATACTAAACCGATCGATTGGCCCTAAATGGGTCTGTTCCATCTGCTTTTCGGCCAGCCATTGAGCCCTGCCAAATAAGAAGTAGAGTTTAGAGCACGCAATATACATAAATGTTAATATACCAACTGTACCTGTGTGTTTCAAAGGCTTTGAGACAATAGCCAGGCATCAATTTACACACCCGGTCCAAGCGCTCGGCAAGCGTTGGCGAGTCCACAAATATCGGCACATTGCTTCGATTGTAGATCCACACGTCCCCACACTCCAAACTTAGGGTCACACCTATTAGAATTACAATTTTCAACTAAATACACTCGTCTAGCCAGGAGTTCACAACTCGAGCTTACCCAGACCGATCTTCAGACGCGTCTTTTGGACTGCATCCGACGATGTTTGCTTCCCACAAAATTCGCGTAGGCACATATTTTCTCCGGTGCAGTCCACTGGTCCGTCTGTGTGGATATTAACTGCCAACCTTCTGGCGTGGAACAGGTCTCCAACGCGCTGCGATAGTTCCCAATAGGCAATCTGGCACCAAGCATTATTATTCGCGCTGTGATCTAAAATTAAAAATAATGGAAATCAATGCATTAGCAAAATTCGCTGACTTATTATTATATTATAAACATGTAAGAAAGCTCTACTCGAGACTGCTTGACTACCTCCTTAACCCTTCGAAGAACTGATATTTCAATAATATTTCGTTTCTTTTCTGCTGATACAAGAACACACACACAGACGCACCTATATAAACACGCATGGTCTGCAGTGTGGGCTTACTATGCGAATTTTAAATTTAATTTTTAATAACTTTCCTTGTCGATGGACGATCTACATGAACCTTTCAGAGCGTGATTACAACATTGAAATGCGTGCATTAGCCAAAGCACAAGTCTCTAGTATTTCAAATACGTCTTTTACAATAAAGGGGTAAATGATAACAAAAATCGAAATTTTATATAAATCATATAAATTAACATTTAAAATTTTGTGCGTCTGACTTTGAAGATTTTTAATCGATAAACAAAATAACGGGATGAGTTATTGGAGATAAACTCGATATCCACTCTATAACACGGGCATTAACAAAAAATTCAAGTCTCAAGCTGTTATTTCTTCTGAGGACATACAAACAGACAGAATATATATACCATCATAATAATTTTCCCATTTTCAAGGGGTTCAGGGTACAAAAAGGAATCTCAGCAAGTAATGTATATCAAGCAACCGAGCAAATCATAAGATTCGTTCACGGCCTCATGTCTCGTGGAAGACTGCCGTAGTTTAATCTGCACATGCTGGAGATCTATTATTCAAAAACTTTGGATTGTCACGTCTTCTATGGACGTAGCTTTTCGAACTTGTTTTTTATACAGAGATAATCTAAAATCTTAATCCTAAACTGTACTTATACACAGCTCTAATTTTCATATACGACTATATACATTTCAAGTTAAACCTAGAATATAGTTATTGCCTGTGCCTATTAGCGGTCTGCTGGAGGACAAAGAGCTCTGGTATCGTCTTTGCTCCCGGCTATGTCGACTATGCTGACCTGACTCGTCATTGACACTAAAAAGTATTTTCCGACTAAGGCAAACTGCCAAAGCAAACAAATAAGCGTGCTCTAATCGAAAGTGCACGACTATTATATACCCTAGGTCCTGCAGACGTGCTGTACTCACTGCGTAATTGATGCGGCTTCAGCGCTTCGGTTCTATAAATTCTGTTTCTAAACTGAATTGTTGAAAACCCTTCCTATTAGATTGACCTTCCTGATAAACAAAATATTGATAAAGGCATCAAAATGTGTGCATTCTCTAAAACAAAGTCATACTATAGACTTTGCTTTAAGGAATGCACACATTTGGAGAGCTAGGCGGTACTATAAGTTCGAAACATACTAAGTTGGTGTATTCTTTGTAAGCACATCGATTTTAATCGATAAAAGGAAATAGAGATAGAGAGATAGAGATAGAGATAGAGAATAGAGATTTCGTTAGGTGAACTGCCGCCTACATATTCTACCCTGAATTTACATGTCTATGTGTCTATAAAAGAGAAAAAATGAGACTTCGTTATCCTAATATTAAACATATAACACTAAAAATAATACGAAAGCATAGAGATTTTAAATTAAAAATCAATAAACCCTTTGGTTTAATTTGCAAAACAAAGACAAATATAATTTGCTTTTTTCCTTTTTTTTAAATAGTTTTGCAATTCTAAACTCATTGAATTTGCCTAACGATTTGGTGAGCATGCCTCACATTGTGAATTTGAAATGTATTTCGTCAATTATTTATATGATTAAGTTATTTAAATGCTCTCACTTTGAACTGAAACTCGATGAGCTATGTATGTGCTGTGAGCCACTGCGAATTCACTTAATACAGGGTATACAATTGATAGCCTTTGCAGTTTTGCTATTTTGCCACTTCTTTGGCGCCTGCTCTGGCACACGCCATCGATGAGGGGAATTTTTTTCTTGTCTTTGGCTCTTTGGGATCTCTAGCGCCGCCTGGGCGTTGTTGTTTTGTATTTTTCAGTCAATGTGCTATGTACATATGTACGTATGTATGTGTGTATGTATGTATGCACACAATCGTACATAGCTACATAATTACAAACAGAAGTGCGAACCGACTGGCTACTACATCATCTTTAAATTTAGATTGTTTTAAATGCTATCTATGTGCATACATACACACATACACACGCATATGTATCTACATATATGTGCGTGTGCGCGCAGTGTAAGTTTATTAGTGGCCACACATGTCGGTGTTGTAAGTGCACACACACATACCGACGCACATACATATGCAATAGTATATCTATGGACGCTGTGGTGGCAATACCTTTCCCCCTTATTATTATTGGATTATAACTTGCATCAACAGTCCTCGGTTAGGATTAGATCAAGCTCATTCTTGCTGTTAATTGCCTGAGTGGAGCAACTTATCTAACGATGACTCGAGATTGCAGCTTATATCTACATACGAACACATGTGTTCAAGAAAATTGTATTGCTATTCTACACTAATCTTAAGCTAACGCAAAGGAATATTTTTACTCGTTATACTCAAATGCATTTTCGGATATACCAGAAATCATATTAGTTGAAGAGCTAGAAAACTGAAATTCCAAATGCAGATCCGCGTTGGCCAAATCGGACTTGAAGATATAGTGATTTTTCAAAATCTGCTATATTTTGCCAGATACCTGAAATTTGGTATATATACGCGGTTTGACCACCCAAGTCCAAAGAGCTATGGCGGCTATAATTATTTATATATGTACATAAGTTTATATCTTCTACAGTTTAAGGGCTAGAAGTTTTAAATTTGGATGGTTGTAATTTCCTGGTTGGATGGTGGTAATTTCCTCTATCGATGAACCAAACATAATTGTTACGCCCCTTTAGGGGCGTGACACATCGAAAAATACCCTGTAATTTTCACTTTTTTGGAGCGTAAGCATCCAAATTTTGCAGTTACGTTACCTTCAGCTCGCTCTAAGAACTGGCCAACAAAGATGTGTCTACACCCAGTAGGGGCGTGGCGAATCGGAAACTTTGCTACTAAATTGCTGATGGGAGGTGAATGAGTACTCTGCAATTGGTAACGGCCGAACTCTTACAAAATACAGTTATATTTAGCTATAAGTAAGCTGTATCTGACGACTTTTGGGTCAATAATTGAAAATGAGTAGCTCATAGAAAAAGTAATGCTGCATGTAAAAACTCGATAAGGTAATAAATTATTAAATTAAAAAAAAAGCTTAACAGCAATTAAATTTATAAGGTTATATTTTATTTGTATATTAATAAATACATATGTAATCAGAGATTGTAGCGAAAATGGACTGACATATTAACTTTCATATCTGTCATAATAGATAACAAACTTTACAATATCGGAGACTTCTTTGGATTTATATATGTACGTATGTAATTATGTACATTCATAAAAATTTCAATTTACATTTAATAGTCTTCATTTTTGTAAATAAAGTGAACCACAACTAAATCATTTAAGATACAAAAACTCAGACCCAACACATAAAATAGTAAAAATTATAATAAATGGTGAGCAACAAAATTTCGGCTAATGTAATGTAATGATTCATCTTGATCTCAAAATCAATCGACTTTACCAATTTGACACGCATTTAAATTTGTATACGTTTTCATTAATTTATTAAGAGATTATATAAAGTTAGTTTTTTTCTGAATTCTTCCTTTGTTTTCAACACCCTGCTAACAGTATTTGTTCTTCAAATGCGAATATAAAAAATTTTAAGTCTTAATTTACCAACAAGTCCCGATCACGTGAGCAATTCTATAAATGCACATACAGACATAGTGCATATTTACATACAAGTGTACACTCAGACGCTCATAGATGTAATGCAGAGATGTAATGATGAACATGGGTCAAATCTGATTTTCTGATGGGGCTTTCAAGGAGCCGCATAGCTTTTGAATTTCAATTAATTAAGCATTCGCATGCAAAGAGCGCCGCATGCCTATAGACCAAATTGATTCAATTTGCTGAATGCAGGCTCTAGCTCTATTTTTAGCACTACTAAGCTAACGGCTCATTCGAATGCAAAAGCTTTTATTCAAAAATGCCATAAAGAAAAAAAAAAGAGAAATAAATATTGTCCAGTTCGACGGCGGCGTTGGCGGCAGCGCCATGAATGATATCATAGTCATAACGCCATTGCCGCCGATCACCCGCTACCCGCTGAGTAGCTGGCAGAGGCGATAACCAGCCACCAGCCACCAGCCATAGCCACAGTTCCACAGTGTTTGCACTGCTTAGCCGCGCCCGCGCTGCTCTACAAAGCTTTCGTAAGCAAGCGCCAAAGATTTTTTCTGCTGCTGTCGCAGTCGGCGCAGGCGTCGCACAGTAGGGCCTCTGCCGTCAGAGACGGGCAAAAATAAGTAAAGTCATAAACACCGGTTGATTGATTATTTTATGCCATTAGATTGGAAATTAACCATAAGGACAGAATTAAAGGGTAGTTATAAACCCTCAAGTTGGGTAAATTAGAAAAATAAAACGAAACATCAAAATTTTTTTGTGTCTAAAAACGTACAAAATGTACTAAAAATGGTCATATTTGCATGTAGCTGCATAGGTAGGTAGAAATGCCGACGGGAAATCAAACAATTTGGGTGTGGATGAACAAATTTCTCCTATCTTTTTTTTACAAGGTTTTGTTTAAAAATTCATATTTATTGCAAATAATTTTAAGCTTAAAGAAGTGGTTGTCGAATACTTTTTAAATTTTTTAAATATCATTGCTCGTTCCAAAGTTATCAATTTGGCAACGCAAAATGAGCAAAGGCCCCACTGTGCGTCGGCAGCCTTGCCGCCGACTCGCTTTTTCGCATTCGCCTCGCAGTGTTTGTATTTGTTTTTCGCTCATTATTTATTTTCGTGTTGTTTTTGCTGTTTTCGTTTAAAAGTTAATATCAATATAGAAAGTGACGACCTGACGCGGCAAACTGGCGCCACGAACAACTTGGCTCGGCCGGCGTGCTCAAACACACGCACGCGACTGCTGCCGTACTCTCTCGCACATTCTCACCACACAAGCACTCTCACACACACACCCCACAGTATGTACATAAACACATTTATGTGCGCGCATGTATGTATGCCTTTATATCTATAGAAGCAAGCATGAGTCTGCGAGTGTATGCATGTATGTATGAATGTTGTGTCTTACAAACACACACACACGTCGGGAGCTGCTTGCTGTTTAGTCGAATTCGTAATAAAGCAGCGCCGAAGATGAGAGAAAGAGATGAAAAGGAGACCACGTTCGGACTGCGGCATGGCCACAAGCAAACTCACCTTTTCCATCAGTAGTAAAAGACTCAAGACTCGGCACATACAACTGGGACTCCGATTGTTTGATGATGCTGTTGCTGTTGTTGTTGCTATTGCTCTGCACGGCCCACGCAGTCATCGACGAGCTTTCGTTGTTGTTTTGAGTGTATTCCTCGGTATCTAGAATTGCCGATTTCTGATCAGTTCCATTCAGTGCCATAGCCACCAAAAACCATTTACATACCTTGATCTCTCAGTCTCAGCATTTTTGATCGCTGATACGGCGGGGGTGCGGACTCTGAAAGTGAAAAACCCAAGTAAATCATTAAGTACATTAGTACATTTATTTATTATTTTTAAATACTTTTAGCTATTCGGTATTTATATACTGAAGATTGTAGAATTTTTTGATTAATATTTTTAATCGATATCCTTTAAAATATCTTAACTTCTCGTTTTTTAATTAATGTGGTGTAGATCAAGATGCACGTTTCACGTTTTCTGATAAATTTTACGGGTTTCAATTTCGGATTTTTAACGTAAAACTTATGTTAACAAATGACAGTACATAATCTATATCTATATCTATGAGTATATACATACATACATTATATGAAGAATTAATAGTAAATTTTGTGATGTATAACACTGATCTCTTAAATCATTTATTTTAAAATATACATACRTACATACATATGCATATACCCTCCCTTTTGAGATATGTACAGAAATGTATGTATGTATAATGAATTACTTTTACACCCGTTAAATATAAGTCGGTATAGGGCAGTGTAATAGCTTAGAACCGGGCACTCACGGCTTTGGAAAAACTTAGAAGCAAATGCATTATCCACTTTATTAGAAATCTATAAGAGGCCCATCTGCTGAAACTCGGATAGTTTTCGAGAAATTAATAATAAGTAAAAGTAGTCTACTCTAGTTTTTATTTACATAAAAACATAAAATAAAATAAATAAATAATAAATAATTACACATATAAGGAGTGATATCTAATAATATCTTATTGCATTATATTTTTTTATTAATATTTAATTGTAAGTATTATTGGATGATATACCAATCTTTAAACTTCTATTTTAAGATACATACATAAGTGTTCGAAACCATATGAGTGTTGAGCGTTGAACCCCACTCATACCAAGGACACCATACCACCAAAACATAGAAATACAAAGCAGTAATCAACGATGTTAGAGACGTTACAAAACGCTTGTTATAAGATATTTGTCTATAGAATCGCTTCAGAGACCCAGGTCTTCAATTGATGCCTATGTATGCATGTGAGCCCTGTCAATCTCGGACAGATCCTTGGTATCGCAGATACAAATCGTCTAGCTTCTTCATTAATCAATAAAGGACCAATAAATATGTACATATAGAAATAGATATATTAATAAATGTAAGCAGTTTGGAGAATTACCCAAGACTACGACGGGTTGAAATGCGCGTGTTTAAGACAAGCTGTGCGATGAGATCATGCCTCACAAAAATAGTACAATATTAGTATTCGAGAATACATACACACATATGCACGTTGGTACACACATAAACACATACAACACATCTAACAAAGCCAAAGCAAAGCGAGACCGAAACAAAAAAAAGAAGCAAGATCAGAAAAGAAAACAAGTGGAAGCGCTCAAGAGGTGTTCACTAAGAGATACCCTGTTTGCGGAACTGCATTAGCAGTATAAATATAGATATACGTTTATAAATATATGTATGTGTTACATTCCCCATTTAATATTAACTCAGTGATTCGCACAGTGATACGCTAATCTACGCAAAGAGATGCGTGCACATACTTGAATGCCCTCTTTGCATCTTCTGTGTACAGGGTATAAAACAGCAACAAACTTGAGCGCAGCCAGGCCAAACATCAGCGCGGCGAAATAAAAATAAATAAATAAAATAAATAATGTTTGCATATCAGCCAGCAGCACTGGGGGACATTTTATTGGCGCACAAATCGTTTGATGTGCGGCGCTTACCGCTGGGAGCGGAGGAAGCTGGCGCTGCAAACGTCAGCAGTACTGCCAGCAGCAGCAGCAGCAGCAGCAGCGACAGCAAGAGAAACAGCAACAGCAACGGCGCCGTCGACTTAGTTAGCCCCAGTACCAGTTTAACCTGATTACGTTTGGCTGCTGCTGCTGCTGCCACGCTGACGCCGCGGCGTTGCCGTCGTATGAATCGATAGATTCTTAAAAACCTTATGAAACGCCAAAGCCAGCGCCAAAGCCAAAGCCAAAGCTAAAGCAAAGGGAGCAGTCAAATTCCAACGTTGCCTTTATCGCCCGAATGACGCTGCGCAGCGTATCCGATCGCCGAGCTCCATCAAAAAATCAAGTGACTTTACCTCAATACATACATACATACATACATACATGTATGCATGTTTTTGGTTGATTGAATCGATTCTAACGCTTGGGTTTCACAGGCTAAGAGATATCCTTAAGCCCGATGTTAATAGACATGACATACGTAGGGTGACCATCCGTCCTGGAATTCCGGGACATGTCCCGCTTTTGGAGATAATGTCCCTGATTTGTTTTTGACAGTCCCGGAATGAGCTCCGGCCCAGATGGTCACCCTAGACATGCGAAATATATATCTATATGCATATGTATGTGAATATATTAATTTATGTATATAAATCTGACATATAAAATATGTATATATACATATAGGTGTAGCGAAGATATAGCATTCACAATTTTCGGCGTACAGTAAAATTGAGGTTATACCTCTAGCGGGAAGTTATTGGTGTGCATGTCCACTTCAGTTAATAAATTGGAAAATGATTTTTGTTAACATTAAGCATTGCATCAATTCATTTTCAAGCATGGTTTAAAAAATAATTCCAATGAATATTATTCATTCAAAATAATTGTGTTCAACATAATAATATAATATT